ATATATATATATATATGTGTGTAGATTTTAGATGATTTTTTTTTACAAATAATACTTATTGATAAAATAAGTTTATTCACTTTTATAATAATTGTCTTTAAAGTATTTTAAGTTGTACTTTATGATTGGTAGACAAAATAAAATCCTTTTGTACTGTTGATATATAAAAATTACACTCATATTGAGAAAATAATTTATATACTAACAGTTTCAATTTTTTTTACATTATTTCTAATAACAAAAAGTATCATGTATGTAAATTTATTAACTTTTTAATAATAAACTTAAACTTCATATTTACAGTAATTTCTGATTGATTGATAATATGATTATATAAAAATTACATTTAATTATATATTTTTCATAAATTAAAATTAAATTATTTATTTCAACTTCAAGATGAGAAATATTATAAAAAGTTAAGATACACAAAACCAATTTTAATTCATAAAAAATACATTTTACATTGTCTATTTTTTTCTATAAGTAGTTATTAAAAAATTATTTAAAATGGACAATAGTGCATCAATATCTCAGAACATTGGTGTCTTAAATATATTTTTATTTTTGTAAAATGACTAAGTTTAGATTGTGCTCCTACTAACATTTTTCTTTATTTTTTGTTCTTCTAAAATTTATGAACATTATTTTTTTTGTCTTTATAAAATAAATAAATTTTGGGTTTTATCCTTTAAATATATTTTTCTTTGATTTTCATTAATTTAATTCGTAACAGTTATTTTTATGTAGATAAATAATAATTATTCTAAATATTTATACAATTTTTTAGAAATATCAAATACTAATATAATATCAATAATAGTCATAAATAATATTTAGGATATTCAATCAACTTTTTAATAAATATAGCATAATTAAAAATAATAAAAGATAGAGATTAAATATAATAATTTTAATTTAAAAAATAAAAAATATTTTTTAATAAAAATTTAAATCAAAACTCATTTATTTTACATATATTAAAAATATATTTAAGTATAAATTATATCAGTATCCCACCCTTGTGTATATAGCCGCGTGAAATTTTAGGACTAGCTATCCCACCAGGTGCTTTCAACGTAAAAAGGAGATTAGTCACTACTACCGATGGTGGATAGGACAAAAAAAAATATACAAACAAAGCATACAATTTTGACTCTAGGTGGAGCAAGTGAAGCCTAATAATAAACATTTTTATTGGTTAATCTTCGTTGTTTCATTAACGTTTTTGGAAATTACGTATCGCGATTACTATCTGATGTCATGTATAATTAATACGATCTCATTGACTCGACGAATATAGAATCCATATTTGAAATACTTCTCTTCTGAATTAGTCTTGGTGCATAAAAAACTAAAAAAAATATATATTTATTATCAGAATATAAAAACATTTAATACTGTTTTTATAAGTCGTTAAAAGAATTTAATTAAAAATATTAAATACTAGTTAAGCACCATCGATCCTTAAATCATTAATTAATTAGAAACCACTAAAAATATACTTTGACATTTCTTATCATTTATTAAAGCAATCATTGCAAATAAGATAAATTGAAATTGATCGATAGGATCAATAATTCAATACCATGATGAATTAACAATTATATTTTTTAAAAATTAAATCCTATTCTAAAAGATTTTATGATTTTTTTTTATTTAAAATTTAACATTTACGATTCTATATAATTATATAAATCACAATTAAATGTTAGGATAACTTTCTTGGTATTTATATTATATTATATGCTTCAATCCTTCTAGATTATGTGTATCCATGACTTTTCCATGGTGACCACCATTGATTTCGTGGTGGGATCACCTGAATGGAAAAATACTTTAATTTTCCAAATAATCTTCTACACTTGAAAAAAAAATGTTCAAATAAAACAAAAGACATGACATATATTTGAATTTCATCATGTTTTGGAAAAAATTTCACTAGTAAATCAACCGATATAAATTTGTTTATGAGAAAATTTTGTCATTCATATTAACCTTATTCAACCTGAACAGAATTGTCTATAATTAAAAATACATGCATACATATATATATATAT